GTACGATGTGCCTTCACGTGACACCGGCACAGATCGTCCTAGCAAATCTAACGCCGATAAAGGAACCATATATAACTTGTTGTGGCCACAGCCAAAGGCTGTGATTGAATTGAAAAACTTTACAGCTCCATTTATTGCCGGAAAGGAGCTTTTTATATCGATAATACAAGTAAGAAAAGATATATTCATTTCTCTTTTTCGAAATTATAATCTGAATCTTTATCTTGTTGGAATTTTCTGCAATTTTATTTTATATTAAATTTCTTATTGCGCGTATAATTTATTTCCTAGGGAAGTGAATCTGTACATAAAATATTAGATGTGTGGGAGGTCAGTAGAACTCATTTACTCGAACTGGGTCACGATGTAAAAATTGGCGAAGTGCAACCTAGTTGCGGCAAACTGCTCAACGACAATACGATAGAATGCACTGTGAATAACAATCTATTTAATATTACGGACGGCTATCAATTGCATATTACGCAAAACTTCATTAAAGTGAGCGCCGGAAGTTTAGTGGGGCTGCATTACGCGGTCTGCACATTTGTGCAGATTCTACGTCTGAGTAAGAATCGGAATAGATCGGAGCTGTGCGAAATAGAGCCCGTCTTTATAAAAGACGAGCCGAGATTCACACATCGCGGTTTGCTGTTGGACATCTCACCCAGAGGACGTATACCGACCCTAGAATACCTTTTGCATATTATTGATCTACTGTCGTCGTTTAAAATCTCGCATTTGCATCTCTACTCCAGACTTATACCGAATTGTGACTGGCAGCTCTGCTACTCCAAGTCTGAGATGGTAACACTGGATAGATATTGCAGGTACAATTACATGTTCGTTAGAAAAACCGCGCGCGCGCGTAAGATTATCGTTCTCAAATAGATTCTAATATTTTATATAAACTTAATTATTGTGATTATTATTATTTTTTCTTTTAATTTTATCAATCTATGTTTAATAATTCTTCTCTATAACTATCTTCTATATATATTCAATTATTATCTATTGTGTCATTATTTTTCTAAATATTTATTTTTTAACCCTTAACAATTTTCCGCTCGGCGATTACATAAAAATTAATATTTTCGTTATATATAATAATTAAAATACATTAATTTTCTCAGGGATCGGCATTTAGATATAGTGCCCACATTGGATGTCGATTCTAACGTCGGCCAGCATCACTTGACCCAAATGTGGCCTATCTTTCAAGAATTACTTGCGGTATTTCCCAGTTTGAGTTACGTTCACGTCGGTCCACGATTAGCGAGTTTATTAGTGCAAGCTGACAATTTCGACTTGAACGCGTCTGTTAACGATACAATCGAAACGGATATGTCGGAAGTATTCAAGTCCTATTCGTGCCTTCAAGAACTCTGGCATATTCTCAATCTAAGCGCGAACACAACTCTACTATTATGCTCCAATGGCCTACATTCTAAACCCGAATTCCACAATATTCCCACTAATATTATACTCGTTGAATACGGATTTCAGGTAATATTACATTTTTTTTCGCGATTTTCAGTGATAGATTCGTAGAAATGTTTATAAAACTTATGCGACATTTATTAAATATTTGTGTTACAGGCTGATTATGATTTCTCCGAATGGACAGAAGCGTTCAGAGTAGCAGGTGGTAACGTTTTACCAAGCTCTGGTACGGCTAGTTACAATAGTTTAGCGGGATGCCCGGCGTCAACATATGCTAACACGAGGAACGCGATAAAGACCTCTCTAGAGCAGAATTCGATCGGTATCGTTGTCGCACATTGGTCGGGTAGTCATCATCTTACACCGCATCCTTTCGCATGGATCGGTTATTTAGTGGCGGCTGGTTTAGCTTGGAACCCAATGACGGAAATAGACTTGGGTCCTGATGATAATTATGACATGCCTGAATTATCTGCATCAATTAGGTAACAATCGTCGTAAAAGTTATAATTGTACATCATTATCAAATACATTATTGCTTACTATGCTTAATAAAATAATTGTGTCACTTTAGGGAAAAATGTATCACGAAATTATTAGACATACACGTGTTTCAAGACTCGGAGTTTAAAATCGGTAGCGCGATACTAGAGTTAGGACGTTTAGACACTTTGGTATTAACATTAAGCAAAAATCAGGCAGTTAAAGACCTGCAACAAATACCAGATAATCGCGGTTCCACATTATATAGATTATTAACTGATCCAGATAATGTGAACCTAGAATATCTCTCAACCGATCTATTCGCTGTAAGTAGCTCGTTTAAATATAAATCTTAATATTTTAAGAATGAATAACACGAGATAAAATAATTACAAGCAAATTACTGTTTGCAGAAAATGACGAAGCAAATTAAACGAATATCCCATTCCTTGTACGAGGCGAACTTGTCCTCCAAATTCGCATCAATGGAGATACAGGAATTGCAACTGACCTCCGATTTGATGCTAACGGCATGCAAGATCGGCAGAACTTTGATCGGAGTCGGCGTAAATCCGAATAGTAACATGGGGCTCGCAGTCATTAATCTAGGAGTATCTAACTTACCGCCTACTTTCAGAACTGACGTAGCAAACAAAATGTTGGCTCACATAGAGCAATACAAAGGCTCTTGGTTGCAAAGACATTTGCCACAGGGTCTTCAGAGCTCTTTGCTAGTTTTAACTAGTGCACTGCATAGATTTGTGCCAGAGACGTAAATTTTTTTCTTTTTTTAAGGACATAATATTTTTTATTTGCATCGAGCATTTTAAAGAACACAAATGTTTATTTTTAGAACAAGTTTCGTTTGAAACGTTAATCGACAAAAGACTGCAATGTAAAAATATATGGTAAATGATAACATGGTAAATGAAATACATATAGGATTCTAAGATAAACTCGAAAATTGGTTACATTGAGAGCAATATGTACTTGGATATTTACATATTATTATATTGATTATTGTACATTCACTATGTAATATCATTTCCTGATGTTTGATTGGCTATATTTACTATGCTTGAAGAAAATAATAACTTTTTGTTAAGAAAGCAATTTTATTTGTCAAAAAATTTCAAAAAAATTTTTATTTTAATAAATGTACATTTATTAATTTTAATAATTTGTGAGAGCCATGATTGATATAATTAAAACGGCAAATTATATATTTGATGGCTATATCATTTATTTCCATATGGACATATGTGCAAATGCGAAGTTTGAAATTATTTTGCAATGAGGTAATATATTTTTTATAATATCAACACATTTGATACAATTATCTTATAAGAAATATATATATATAATTCATGCAATAAATAATATTAATTCATAATGGTTAATTATTTTTTAATATACATACATATACATATATACAGTTATATATTAACATTGTTTAATCAAAATCAATTTGAATTTAAATCACTTTCTCTTATCTTTCATGTATTGCACATATTGTAATAATACTTGTTTAATTTTTTTGTCTCATCATAGATATTTTTTCGTATAACTGTTACTTTACATTAATTAAAAATTGCTTCAATATTGTATAAAAAGATGGCAGGTAAATTTATTCAAGCATGTTATTTCCATTTGCAAATTTGCTAGTAAATCTTGAATATATGGAGCAACAAATTCCATATTTTTTCCATCTCTTTTTTTCTTTCTTTAATAATAAAGATTGTACAACAATATTTTGATGCTTCTAAACAGGGAATTTATGATACATATTTTATTTTAAGTCCTTAACAAAATAATTTTTTTGATATAAAATCTATACACAACATCATTAATTATGTTCATTTGACAATATAATATCATTACTTCTAAGATTATTTCTCTTTTTATCGTTCCATCCACCCATCTCTAAGTCCTGCTTATTAAAAATTTCTCTTTCAAGTGCTTGTAATCTATAAAATTCATTGATCTCAAATTGATATTTGGGTGCTGTTATGCCAAAGAAGTTGGCCAGACATTCGCCGACATAATCGCAACCATTTAACATTTTTGAACTAATCCATGTGGTTTGATGCCATGCCCATGGTAACCAATTCATATTTTTCTACAAAAAATATGTGTATCATATATTATTGTATATTTTCATTGTAAAACCAATTTTACTTTGTATGAAATTTGTATATAATTACAGTATTTATCTGTGACATGGTTTTACTACTTTCTGGTATGTCAACTTCATCTTCCGACGAATATTCCTCCATTATACCATCCGAAAATTGTAGTACCCTTTTTGGTTTCTTGTTTAATTTATGTATGCACTGCATGTTAATATATTTATTACAATTTAAAGTCTATTACAGTTGTAGTTTATACAATTCTTTTATATGTATAAAAAAGATCAATTATGACTCAATTCTAAGAAACTGTAATGTATTTCAAATTAATATTTAAAGTGAAATTCTAAAATATTTTGCTTTATACAGAAAATACCAAAATATTCGACATCATTAAGACAACTGTACAAACATTCCACTGTTATCTTATTTCATTACTGTTCCTATGCAAACCAATATAGTATCTCATATATGCATGTATCTATACAATACAGATTATGATAAAAATCCATTTACATCTAAAGCCTTTGTGTTAATTCCCTAAACTTTTCTTATCTATGACATTACTCCTAAAAAGCTTAAAAGGAGAAATGGAAGGTTATAAGCGACATAAAACGGATTTCAATGATTCATATATTGAGGATATAATTATTAAAGTCTTTCACAATTAATATGTATGTATAAATCGTACACCTATTCTGGTATATATATATATATACATACATATACATATATACAGTTATATATTAACATTGTTTAATCAAAATCAATTTGAATTTAAATCACTTTCTCTTATCTTTCATGTATTGCACATATTGTAATAATACTTGTTTAATTTTTTTGTCTCATCATAGATATTTTTTCGTATAACTGTTACTTTACATTAATTAAAAATTGCTTCAATATTGTATAAAAAGATGGCAGGTAAATTTATTCAAGCATGTTATTTCCATTTGCAAATTTGCTAGTAAATCTTGAATATATGGAGCAACAAATTCCATATTTTTTCCATCTCTTTTTTTCTTTCTTTAATAATAAAGATTGTACAACAATATTTTGATGCTTCTAAACAGGGAATTTATGATACATATTTTATTTTAAGTCCTTAACAAAATAATTTTTTTGATATAAAATCTATACACAACATCATTAATTATGTTCATTTGACAATATAATATCATTACTTCTAAGATTATTTCTCTTTTTATCGTTCCATCCACCCATCTCTAAGTCCTGCTTATTAAAAATTTCTCTTTCAAGTGCTTGTAATCTATAAAATTCATTGATCTCAAATTGATATTTGGGTGCTGTTATGCCAAAGAAGTTGGCCAGACATTCGCCGACATAATCGCAACCATTTAACATTTTTGAACTAATCCATGTGGTTTGATGCCATGCCCATGGTAACCAATTCATATTTTTCTACAAAAAATATGTGTATCATATATTATTGTATATTTTCATTGTAAAACCAATTTTACTTTGTATGAAATTTGTATATAATTACAGTATTTATCTGTGACATGGTTTTACTACTTTCTGGTATGTCAACTTCATCTTCCGACGAATATTCCTCCATTATACCATCCGAAAATTGTAGTACCCTTTTTGGTTTCTTGTTTAATTTATGTATGCACTGCATGTTAATATATTTATTACAATTTAAAGTCTATTACAGTTGTAGTTTATACAATTCTTTTATATGTATAAAAAAGATCAATTATGACTCAATTCTAAGAAACTGTAATGTATTTCAAATTAATATTTAAAGTGAAATTCTAAAATATTTTGCTTTATACAGAAAATACCAAAATATTCGACATCATTAAGACAACTGTAAAAACATTCCACTGTTATCTTATTTCATTACTGTTCCTATGCAAACCAATATAGTATCTCATATATGCATGTATCTATACAATACAGATTATGATAAAAATCCATTTACATCTAAAGCCTTTGTGTTAATTCCCTAAACTTTTCTTATCTATGACATTACTCCTAAAAAGCTTAAAAGGAGAAATGGAAGGTTATAAGCGACATAAAACGGATTTCAATGATTCATCAATGAACCGCATATACCTGCGTTTCGGTATCTGAGTTTTCCTGCAAGATAACGTCGCTCAAATCGCAGGCGTCGTCCTTTTCTGGCGTCATCGTCGTATCTTGTGATCGTATCTTACAATAAACAAAACTTTCCGACCTGCGTCGCGCCTTGACAATTCTTGACAGTACATCGAATAAACTTTCTCTCTCCCTTTGTTTACTATCCAGATGATTCATACGCAACGAATGACGTCGAAAAATAGCGAACGCTCGCGATCGAAATCCCATTGGTAGTTTTTTCGTTACATCGATCGATGATACTCTCATAATGTATTTTGCAATGCACTTTGTTGCACATTCAAAAATGCCATTCTGCAATCGACTTTTGCAAATCTTTTCTTCTTTTTAATAATTCATCGATGGCTGCATCGTGCATGCGCAGCTGCATACAGTATGAATTGCTATGGACAAAGTTAAAAATTTATTTAAAAAAATAACGTTTACTTTATAATCATGGTTGTTAATGATAAAAATTTTTAAATTGCTATTTATTTATTTATTTAGTGGAAAAATTGTTGTTATTGTAATAAAAATTGTTATTATAATCATCTTTTTGTAGCTCTTGTCCTTTCGATTGTACATACATACATATCTTTTTGATTTGTTTCCAGTTTTGTTTCGTACATCTGACATAAAACAAAATAAGTATACATATATATATAAATTTAAATGTAAGAAAAAGAAAAGAAAAGTTGTGAAAAAAAATATAAGAAATTAATATAATGAAGCTGATGAATCAAAATTCCATTATAAAATAATATTTATCCGTACTATGACATTTTCCATATATAAAATTCGATATCCCCACGTCATCTTTATTTCATAGCTATACGTTCGTATCTCGCAGTGTCACAGAATATTTCGATTGGATGCGTTCGAAAATCTTACCCGTGGAATAGAGTAGCTTTTAATTGACCAATCAGGACAAAGACATCTTTAGTTCTTTTTGTTCCGATTGGTCAATTAAACGTTACTTTACCCAACGGGTAGGATTTCCGAACGCTTTCATGGATACAGAGCTTGATGGATACAGAGCGAACGAACTCTCGATTCTCGAGCCTCTCGAGAAGTTGAGTTCAACTCGACCACTCGACGTCGAATGGCGACATGACGGACGGTGGACGGTGGGTAACAGAAGCTTGAACTTCTGATCGCACATCGTACCGAGATTCTAAACGGAACTCCAGACTAGGATGAGCCGTAGCTCTTGCAGATTTTGAGAAGCGGTGACTTCCCCGGGAGTCGATCGTGGAATCGAATACAGCCTCTTCAAGTTTCTCGCGTAGATCACGGCAGAACGTGAACGGCGGCGCGACTGTGCGTTAATTATGTGAGTGCGGTGTCGAGACGCTTCTCCGAGCGATAAAGTGTGCGGGAACATCTTTTGTCGTGTCATGTTCTATCACGAGTACGAGAAACGGCTGGTGAAGCCGATGGTGGTCGGCGATGGCTCGTCGCCGACGACGGGTACGACGCTGTTACCCAGTTCTGCCGCCACATACTCGCCCATTTATTTTTCACCTACGAAGACGTCGGCCTGCAATAATAGCTATGACCGTTTCATACCCACTCGTTCAGGTAATAATTGGCAAACCACATTCTCCATGATCAGCGAGAACGGTCGAGGTAGTCTGGTGGCAAAGAAGACACGGGAAAACGGCGAGGGCAGTCGCGATGGAATCGCGTACTCCTGCCTGCTCAAGAACGAGTTACTAGGAGCGAGTATAGAAGACGTCAAAGGCCAATGCGAGGAGCGCAGAGTGCTATCGCCGTTGGTGACCAAGAATCTCTTCAAGTATACCACACCCACCAAGGATCGGACACTACTGGATCAGAGCTCGCCTTACTCTCTGTCGCCTCTCAGTGCTAAAAGTCAGAAACTACTGAGGTCACCTAGGAAAGCGACTAGGAAAATTTCGAGAATACCTTTCAAGGTACTGGATGCTCCAGAGTTACAGGACGACTTCTATCTGAATCTGGTCGATTGGTCCTCCCAAAATGTTCTCAGCGTTGGTCTGGGAAGCTGTGTATACCTATGGTCAGCGTGCACTAGTCAGGTGACGAGACTGTGCGATTTATCTAGCGATGGCAACAGTGTTACCTCCGTCGCCTGGAACGAGCGAGGCAATTTGGTAGCGGTAGGTACGCATATGGGCTACATACAAGTGTGGGATGTAGCGGTGAACAAGCAGGTGAGCAAGCTGCAGGGTCACAGCGCTCGAGTTGGAGCTCTGGCGTGGAACGGGGAGGTTCTTTCATCCGGCAGCAGGGACCGGTTGATACTGCAGAGGGACGTCAGGACTCCGTGCGTTGTTGGCGAACGACGACTCGGTGCTCATCGACAAGAGGTGTGCGGTCTTAAATGGTCACCGGACAATCAATACCTGGCATCTGGTGGCAATGACAACCGGCTCTACGTATGGAATCTACATTCCCTATCACCCATTCAGACGTACACCGAACACTTGGCGGCGGTTAAAGCGATCGCCTGGTCGCCCCATCATCATGGTCTGTTGGCCTCTGGCGGCGGCACCGCAGATCGTTGCATCCGCTTCTGGAACACGTTGACCGGCCAGCCGATGCAGTGCGTCGACACTGGCTCGCAGGTCTGCAACTTGGCATGGAGCAAGCACAGCTCCGAACTGGTTAGCACGCACGGCTATTCTCAGAATCAGATCCTCGTATGGAAGTACCCGAGTCTCACGCAAGTGGCTAAACTCACCGGTCACTCGTACCGGGTACTGTATCTGGCGATGTCGCCGGACGGTGAGGCGATCGTCACTGGTGCGGGTGACGAGACTTTACGTTTCTGGAACGTCTTTAGCAAGGCGCGTAGTCAGAAGGAGAACAAATCCGTGCTGAATCTATTCACGAGCATCCGGTAAATTGTAATCGGACGATAATCGGCATCGTAACGAAGCATCGCGAATCGACGTCGTCTTTTATTATGTATTTTGTACATAACATACATAACATATATACACGCACACATGAATAAATATGTAGTATTCTCTATAAAACAATTATATATATATATATATATACATATATATATCTAGGAACGTATATATATATAATGACGTTAATAGTAGACAGAGGATGAAGAGAGATTGGAGAGAGAGCTATATAAAAGTAAGAATTACGCGGTGTTCCCAACGTATAAGATAAGTCTGCGGGTTCTTCGTACAGCTTACAATATGCGTTGAGTACTTGTGTGCAATACCCGTCGTTATTCTCCGGTAGAGGATATATAAATTGTATGCCTTTACAAAGAAAAAGAGAAATTTATCCATTCCGGAGACTATCGCTACGAGACGCTTCATATTTTTTATGCACTTTATATACACTTATTTTTATACTATCGCTACACTATAGAATTGTGAATATATTTGTATACAGAGCATCCTGGAAAGCGCAATTTTAATTAGGACAAATCTGTTGTCGATTTTTTTGTTAACCGGATTAAAATATTTTGAAATTGTAAGAATATTATATAATTGAGCTCTTTCTTAGGATTTAATATAACAAAATCATTTTTTTATTTTTATTTTTGTTACTCTAATTCTGATTATTATATTATTTTGTTTAGAGAGAAAGAGAGACTCAAATTTTGATTTTGTTTTTTGCTTAACGAGGCAGTTAATCATAATCAAGGAACTTTTTCTTTAATGAAAATCGATTTCAGATTCGTCATCAAATCTAATCAAGTCGTTCTAGGACACTCTGTATAAGTTTGGGTGTATTCTATATGTCATAAATAAAATGCATCCAAACTTCCTACAATGAACTATGAATAGAAATGTGTGCTGTTTTCTCGTACTATTCGGACGCCTAATTAAAAATTGAAATAATGAATTATTTTATTTACTATAAAGAGAATGAGATAAGATATATAAGACCGTAGACGCGATATCATTTCTATTAGATGTAATATCGTGTACGAAAATAGATTATATATAGGAGAAACACTGTAAGTCATAAGTCGTTATCATCTATGTAAAAACGTACCTGAATGTGTATAAGGGGCATAATATTTCGCGAAATTTATAATATATATTAAAATAAGACAAAAAAAGAGGTAAAAAAAGAGAGATCAACGTGCGCTATATTAATATAATACGAATCAAAGTCCACTAGTCAAATCTCTTCTCTAAGCTCACTTATACTCTTTGATGAAATGCCGAGTGCGGGGTTCACTGATTAGGCACGTGCAGATTACAAATCTTTTATATTAAGTAAATGTTGACGGCACAGGCCGATAACTAAACTGTAATTTTATCATTTTTTTCCACTTTTCATATGAAATGTTAAACTCCGCACTCCGTTATTATGTATACTTTAATTGTGGAAAAGGATTTTTTGATATCTATAATCAACAAAAAGATTTTGCAAAATAAAGTTTTTATTGGTAAAACAGACCCTTTGAGATCCCCTTAAAGGAGCTTAAACTTTGTAAGATAAAATGATGAGGAAGCAATGTGCAAGTTTCTAATTTGCACAATTCAGCTTGTTTATTTATATAATTGTAAAATTCTATGTTGAGTATAATTTTGCAAATCTGTTCTTTTGAGACAGTGTTTCTCACTAAGATATTCATATTCTGATTCATCAGTTTTGAGTGCTTTGCAGGTATTGGATCGGATGTTTCACATGATATTGAAGATGCATTTTTGTATTTTGCTTCTTTCTTTTGTAATGCTTTTTTTTAATAATGTTGAATGTTTATTCTCTATAAAAAAAATATATATATATATATATATATATATATATATACATATATATATCTAGGAACGTATATATATATAATGACGTTAATAGTAGACAGAGGATGAAGAGAGATTGGAGAGAGAGCTATATAAAAGTAAGAATTACGCGGTGTTCCCAACGTATAAGATAAGTCTGCGGGTTCTTCGTACAGCTTACAATATGCGTTGAGTACTTGTGTGCAATACCCGTCGTTATTCTCCGGTAGAGGATATATAAATTGTATGCCTTTACAAAGAAAAAGAGAAATTTATCCATTCCGGAGACTATCGCTACGAGACGCTTCATATTTTTTATGCACTTTATATACACTTATTTTTATACTATCGCTACACTATAGAATTGTGAATATATTTGTATACAGAGCATCCTGGAAAGCGCAATTTTAATTAGGACAAATCTGTTGTCGATTTTTTTGTTAACCGGATTAAAATATTTTGAAATTGTAAGAATATTATATATAATTGAGCTCTTTCTTAGGATTTAATATAACAAAATCATTTTTTTATTTTTATTTTTGTTACTCTAATTCTGATTATTATATTATTTTGTTTAGAGAGAAAGAGAGACTCAAATTTTGATTTTGTTTTTTGCTTAACGAGGCAGTTAATCATAATCAAGGAACTTTTTCTTTAATGAAAATCGATTTCAGATTCGTCATCAAATCTAATCAAGTCGTTCTAGGACACTCTGTATAAGTTTGGGTGTATTCTATATGTCATAAATAAAATGCATCCAAACTTCCTACAATGAACTATGAATAGAAATGTGTGCTGTTTTCTCGTACTATTCGGACGCCTAATTAAAAATTGAAATAATGAATTATTTTATTTACTATAAAGAGAATGAGATAAGATATATAAGACCGTAGACGCGATATCATTTCTATTAGATGTAATATCGTGTACGAAAATAGATTATATATAGGAGAAACACTGTAAGTCATAAGTCGTTATCATCTATGTAAAAACGTACCTGAATGTGTATAAGGGGCATAATATTTCGCGAAATTTATAATATATATTAAAATAAGACAAAAAAAGAGGTAAAAAAAGAGAGATCAACGTGCGCTATATTAATATAATACGAATCAAAGTCCACTAGTCAAATCTTTTTCGGACTCGGTATAAATTTATTGATATAATATTTTCTTTAAATAATTATTTATAGATGAGATTCCCTTTTACATGCGCAACGTGACATCGTTCTCTAAGTAATAAGATTATCTTTTTTCCAAAATCAATACACATTTAAATATATCAAAGTAAATTAAATCCTTTCACTTATATTTTAAAATAGCAATATTTTATCTATTATCACAATCAATGCTTATTGTATTTCTTATTGTAATTACATATATCTGATAGAAATGATACTGTCTGCGGACTTAGCAAATGTGAAAATGATTTAAATGTTTGATAAAGGAAGCATCTTGTGTTTCAAAAAGATATACTTTCTTTTTGTGCAAAATGTGTGAACTCTAGTATATATTGATACAGATGGAAATTTATTAAATCTATGATGTATTATCGTAGATGCAGTCATGCATGCATCATGATCTAATAAATAAAAAAGAAATCAGATATTTATAGAAAATATATAGAAAAAATATATAAAGCAGAATATATATTATTGCTTTCGGCAAATTATATGCATTAATATCTATTATCGTACAATATCGGTTTCTGATTTTAATTCATTGCGTGCAATGTGTTCTCTATATAGAAAACATTTTATCATTTCTCATTCTGCAAATCACACAGAAATGCAATCGTGCTAATTATGATAAAAATATTTCTTTCTTATGAATAAGCTTATATTCTAATGCAAGATGTTTAGCTAGTTAGAAAGTTTTGTAAATCTATCATTAATTCTTCTTATTGACAAAGTTACAAGTGAAATCTATCGTATATATAATAATCATATTTGTGTACAATCTAATTATAGTTATCTTTTCAGAAAAATATAAAACTGCGAAACAAAGTATATATTAATATATATACAAAACATAATTATACTTTCAAAGCTATTGCGTAACTATTGTATAATTGCCTGCAAGTCAGATAAATAAATGTTAGAATAAAGTATTCAATAGACTTTCATAGATATATTTGAATATTAAAAATATGTAATAATTAAATATAAATAGAAATATAATTATATCAAATAAAGGAGCTAATTTAATTTTATGGTTATAATACTTTGCATATTTTATCATTCATTTACAAAAAATTGCTATCGATTTTGAATTTTTTCGGAAGAATATATATAAAAATTATATTTATATGTATTAATGTATTTATTAAAATTATATAATATTTTACATAAAACAATTTTTTAATATATATGGGGAAGAAGCAGAGAATATTGATGTAGATCAAGTCTGTTTGAACTCTATTTCATTTATTATTTTACAAAGCAATTGTCAAGAAATATTAAAAAATTCTTTTTTTAAATAAACGGGATGAACAACTTTATTCATCTTGTTCCAACTTCTTCTTTTTATCTTTCTTCCTTTTTTTCTTTTTTTGTCCTGTAAAGAGAAATTTATCTCATATTATATCATATGTTCTTATTCAGATTAATATTTGTATGCATGATTTATATAAATAAGAGCTACTTTATCATAAGTTGCGATAGTAAAGGAGTCTTGTGTTAGCATGTGTTTCATTATAAATGCAAAAATATATATTTAAAATCTATTTTAAAAAAGCTATAAAAATCTACTGAAAAATGCAGCTATTGTTATCTATTAACGGAAAATTTAAAAAATGTTAAATATTTTTGAAAACTTTACACAATTGTTTTTAGTAAAATCGTATTTAAATCATCTAGTAGCAAAATTAGGATATTTAATAGAAATATTATATTATCTACATATATCTAAAATTTGATTATTATTCACTCATTCTACCAAATTTTTACACTTACCTTCATTAGTTTCAGAAGCTTCAACTTTGATTGAAACGTTTGTTTCTATAGTTTCTTCAACTTTTACAGGTGCTGCCTCTATTGTTTCGACTGATTCCTGCATCTTTTTCTTCTTTTTCTTTGATACATTTGATGAATCCGTTTCAGTTTGTACTTCTTGCATACCAGAAGATTCACCTACATCTTCTGTTTTGATCTGTTTGTGATCTGTACTACGTTTCTTTTTTTTTTTCGCTGAGCTATGCAGCTCTTCTTCATTTTCCGGTTCTTCTGTGCTACGTTTTTTCTTTTTTTTCGATGGCGAATCCATCTCCGTTTTTACTTCTACCTCTTTTTGCACACTAGAAGCTTCTCCTGTTTCTTCTTTTATGGGCTCTAGGCTATGTTTCTTTTTCTTCTTTTTCTTGGGTTCTTCTTCATTCTCCTTTGTATCGATTTCCTCAATCAATGGCCTCTTTTTTGGTAGAGTCGAATCGACGGATGCTGAGTACTGCATGTATTCATTTTTGCTGTGATACTTCTCAAACTGTGCCTTCGCTTTGGCAGTGCCGCTGATTCGGCGTATATTACCGGCCTCGAGTTGCTTTAGTCGTGCCTCTAGATTTGCTTTGTGTTGTATGCCAAGATCATTCCAATATTCATTTGTTTCGTTAGGATCTACCGATAAGAAAGCATCAAATCTGGTTGCTAGAGAGGCTTTCGCAGCCAACATTCTAGATATTTTGCCCTTGTTCTTACTCGACGATTGTCCGACGAGTTGTGAATGATAAATCAAGCCGTATTTGGGAGTATTCTTTTTCGATTTGAGTGCACGGAATAACGCTTTCTCCGCGCCGAGAATCTGCAAAGTGGACGCCGGATGTTTGGCGAGACTCGTCAAAGAGCCGGCTTTTGATATTAGACGCGCGCCGACCAATTCGCCGACAAGAATGGATAGGTTCGGCGCCAATGCATTCATCCTGGCAGTCAGATAATCGCTCAAATTGGCTCGATACTGGTGGAGCTCAATTATCTCTTTGCACAAGTATTGCATATGCTCGGCGTCATATTCTGAAATCTCTGAGCCCATCGAGGTCTCCGCGGCTTTTTTCACCTCCTTTTCAATCTCCTCTGGTAGGATATCCGACAAATCACATGAGACGGTGTTCTCCCGTTGGCCGATTGTTCGCATTGTTTGCACATACAGCATGTTGTCAGTTACGATTCTGCCCAGCTCGGGAAAATGCCAACCGTACCATTCGCGCGCTCGCATTATGTAATTGTTAAGTTCCTTGTCCAGATCATCCAGTAGGCATACCGCCTGTATTACCATAGTATCGATCTTATCAGGCGAGAACTTTAGTTTGTATCTGGAAAGACTGTGTGCTAAGCCCAACGCCATGGCCGACATTTCCTTCTTGGTCACTCCAGTGATCAGACTGTCCATCTGATTCCTGATACATCTCATCAATTCCTGTATTGCTGTGTTACTGACGCAAGACAATTGCAGTTTGTCCCTAATAACACAGCCCAGTTTTGCATCGGAAACTGCCAACTGTTCATGCATTTCAGTGCAGCTGCTTTTTAGCGTTTTCTTAAGAGACTTGGATAATTTACTTTCCACAAGCGCCGTTGTGGCAGCTAGCGCTTCAGTAGTATCTTCAAACTTGTGAAAGTATTTTAATTTAACTCTGTAAAATGTAAAAAATGAAGGTTGTTGTTTAATAAATTGTGATACAACCAACAAAGTAATTATTTTGTCAAAAAAGTTGTAAAATAGTTACATTTTACTGGCATCTTCGGGAGTTTCAAAGTCCTTAAAAAGATTTTCTGATTGGGTAAGTTTATTTTCATCCAGCAGCTATAACAAGAAATAATGCATTGAAAACTTTATAATACATCAAATAATTTTGACACAAAGTATATATATCATCAAACTCAAAGGACATGCTAGTATGAGCCACACACATATATATAATATCAATGTATTATAATCTGAGTTAAATATTTACTTATTGCAAAGAATACATGAAACAAAGCATCTTTGACTTTGCTTTGTCTTCTTCAAATAAATCTATTTATGTTTATAACTTCAAATAAAAACAACTTAAAGCAAGATCGTAAAGATTCCATGTATTTTTCGCAGGAGATTCGCATTGTGCTATTTGGTCTGTTCTGTTTTTAATTAATAAACTGAAATTTTGAAAAATCTGTAACGCGTGAGTAACGGTAACGAGTTACTTTTATAAAATATCTACAACTATTAAAATCGATCAAATAAACCGGTTTTATAAAATAGCTTCCCAATCCTAGAGATTCATAATAAATATCCAGGATTGAAAAGTAAGAAGTGAAACATGTCTGCCACGTGCATTGTTTAGGTTAGAAGCGCGTTCACGCTTTTTAGCAAATATGATTTACCTTGAAAATCGCGTACCCCGCTGGAGTCTCGAATAGCACCAACATGATCGCTGCTTATTATTTTCGTTACTTGTAACTTGTTTTTTTCATACAATTAACGATCTTGTCGACTTTAATGAAATCAATTCTAACTCCTTTTTTGATAGATTTCCATTTTCCACTTGAGCGGGATGGAGACTGGAGACACGAAGAGTTTTCTAGGAAATGGAATGGAAAGATAGGCCTTTATGGAAATAAAATACATAGATGGAGCAGTGTTCCGATAGGGGCTCCCTTTTTCGCGCATGCGCAACACATGCGGTGTCGGTTGGTCTGTCTATGTATTTTATATAGTCTGTACAACAATCACTATTCATAAACGGTTGTCCAAACTAAAAGCATACGCCTATTGGCCATTCGCTTGACCAATCAACACGAAAGGAGGAAAAATATCCCTAAAAAGATATACTTGCCCCTCTAAGTTAACTTTATTAAACATGGTGTAAAAGTGTAATTAGTGTTAAAGGGATTTAAAGTCAGTTGCTTCAAAAGGTAATTATGTAATTTTAATTAAATAAATACTTATCATGTTTATGTACATGATAATAAATAATAATTTTCATAATGTATAATGTTACGATATATTTTTTATTTTTGATATATTTCTGCTATTTGCAAAGTCAACAGTGTTGAAAAATTAACCTCTATGTAATAAAAAAACAATTAAAAGTAAAATATAATCATTGAAAATCGTAATACATACTATGAAGTATTAAATCACCGTTAAAATTTTTTATTAGTATACAATGTGAAATCGATTCTGTTTAGCATGATCCATATTAATCAACAATTAAAGAAACAAATTAATAAATAGTCAATAATTCTCTATAATATTTATGGCATATATAACATGAGATGTGGACACATATTTTCTGCAGATGGGAGGTCACAAGGCTCAACCGTACAAAATACCGAGTCCTGATGTTTATAAGATAGAGGATGTGCCGGAACTGAAACGTGTTCAAGAAGAGTTAGCCAAGAGGGGTCTGAAAGATCCTTGGTTGAGAAATCAAGTGTGGCGCTACAATAGTACTCAATCACCACTTATGCGTGGTCTAGTATGTTTAACTAGAGGTTGGAAACTTGGTATACCAGCATTTCTGATAACCATAGCTGTTGAACAATATTTCGGGATTGATTACTCAGGTCATGGGCATCATGATGATGGTCATCATTAATATTCAGTTTCTATATTAATGCGTGATATGAGGAATAGTAGAAATATCATTGTAAAGGGATGTTAGAGTTATGCAAATAAATTGTGAAAGTAATATTTAATGTGTGCTAGTTGATATTTGTTTAAATAAACAATATTGTTTATATAATTTTTATGGTTACATTAGGAATCTTTTATCTAGTAATGATTTGTTGCACAGATTTCTCTTAACATTACATTTGATAGCTATCAGGAATAGTTGCGATACAAGAACTGTCGTTATACAGGCGAAACTGTAAGAATTATACATTGCCAAAAAGAAGGCAAATACAGTGATATCGAATGTCGCCAGTAGCCATTCGTTTCCATAAAGTATCACTTTGTTGAAGGAATAATTGTTATCTGCAATAAAATTGCGTTTAAAAATAATAATTATATTAATTTTTTTATTATCAGGGTTTGTGATAATTTGCATTACCAATATAGAAGACGGATTTATCTTTGGCATTCACAAAAAGAATGTCACATAGTTTCTCTAGTATATGTTGTTCCTTGATTATATAATCCTCATTTTTCGAATAATGATCTAGAAATTGCATTAGGAACAATCTCACTTTTGACCTCGTTTCCGATAATTGTTTCCAACTTTTAGAAGGTGAATTACTCCCTTTTAAAGTTCCTATGCTTCCCTGTGAAAAAATTTTAATATATATTAAATGTATAATAATTATTTATAAAATGCATAATATTCTTGCTTTAAAAAAATATAACGACATCAAAATTGTATCTTTAATTTTGTTATATCTTTTTTCAGTAATACATTGTGTAGTGATCTTGAACGTACATTATCCTTTTGTCTCATGAGTTGATCGTACAAAGATTTAAATGACTGGGTCAACGATACTATAAAAGTCTGATCAGTTGTACCCGGTACCAGACCTCTGTGTGCGCACAAGTTATCTTCCTCCTTTTTTAGATTGCTTATCAGAGTAGGAAGATCAGTATCCGCGAATCCATGTACTGATCTATCATAAAGTAACAAATATTGATTACATTTTTCATCGTGTTTTAGTTTACAAACGTCATTCTTTTTTAAATTACCTTCCATGGATGTAAAAACCGTAATAATTGTGCGCCAAGATGAACACGCTAATGTTTGCGACCGAACATAGATCTACAAACTTTTGCAGTCTGTTTCTGATATATCTTTCATAAAACGTAACGCGGATTAACCATTGTGCGAAATATGCGAATGCGTACACAAACGTGCAAATGGCATATTGTAAGATAAAATTATTGTCCGCTTCGGAAGATTTATTCACGGCGGTCGATTCCGGTACCGCCAGCATCGACGATTCCAAGTCGAATATCTAAAATAATACATGAACGTATCATTCCTCGAATCTTTTATACGACAAATGCGAAAATATTGTTCTACGTTTATATTTCAGACCTGTAAAATACACAGGGTATAAATCGATTGCAACGCCACATTTATTTTTCTTCTGGTTTGCAATTTGCACCATTCGTTGGCGACGAAATATGTTCTCCAAACGCTGATCGGAAAATTATGTACGTAACTGTGCTCGGTTGCCTCCCGCAAGGGAGATCTCGCGAGCGAAGAGAAATCCGGTGTGTATTTCTCAATCGAAGAAGACTTGGATATTTCATTCGGGCTTATGTTTTTATTCGTTTTATGCGATCTTCTCTTTCGCTTGGACGCGATTATATCCGACGTTATTCTCGAAGACTTGCCTTCGTTCCTCGGAAATCTGTTGGAGTACAATTTCCGTAAAGAGGTATGCGGAGAATCATACTTCGATTCGTTGTGTATCGTTCTCGGTTGCTCCCAATCGATGAAAAATATGCTCAAACCCCAATGCTGATAAACGAATCCCATCATTTCTATAATCTAAGTTTGAAAGAAAATCAGGGATTAATATTATAAAAATATTATATATTTTATTAAACTCTTTGTTTTTATGCAGAATAGTAGAATCTTATTTTCTTTATCAATTTCATGTACATAAAAGTATCGCGTTACTTACTTTAAAACTGAACGCTATAGTAATGTATGTTTGGATCCTTTTCTCGCTGTCTTCATCGGGGAGTAGGATATACGGTACAGTTTGGCCTTTGTAAAAGATGAATAGATATACACACACGCTGATACATACAAAAGTAATCATATTTCCAATCGCGCCCATAGCGTAGATCAAGAACCATAATAAAACTGCTATACTGAGATTACCGTTGTAATCCCACTTATAGTAATTCCACGCTCTGATGCTGGAAAATATCAAAGTTATTCCCGTCAGCACTCCAATAGTTAACTAAAAAAAAAAAAAAAATATGTTTTTAATATAAAAAGAGGGAACAAAATATAGAACAATGCATGTAATTTTTTTTTTCAACGGCTGTGATTTTTTTTACCTCAACGTTATAGTCTATATCGTTATCCTTTAATATAAATGTAACTTTGTAATCTATTATAACATCGGAATTGTTGAGGAAATCTTGATATGTTAATTCATCATATTCCACGATCAAAAAAGGCGCAAATATTTTGCCATGGTCTTTTCCATTTTGAACGTTCACTCTGAAAAAAGAATTTTCGTTATTTTCCGATTGTTTGTAGAAAATGCTTTCTGTGAAAATCACTTACAAAATAGTTAGAGATTTCATGTATCGAAGTACAGAGAGTTCTGACGCTTTCATGAATCTACTGTTCATAAATATTGGTAATGCTTTGAAACCGCTTATATTGTCGACTAAAAAAAATTTTCGCACCAGCTGCTGGCGTAAAACTTCCTTAATATTCTGCAAAGAAACATAAAATCTTTGGTTATTATATTTCGTATTATTAAAATATAATGCACATAATTTTACCTGATCCGCCGATTTAACGATCACGGGCAATGCATGTATAAAAGATTTATTGTCCTCTCTAAATATCAAATAAGGAGACAGAAATTCCATTTGTGCGTTCAATAATTCAGCAGCGGTGGTCTTGCATTTCTTCTTGAAATTTACGCCAAATCTCACGTTCCTCAAAAGTTGACACGGCAAAGTCGGCCTGCCCATAGATAAGAATTCGCCGTTCAACGCAAATCTTGCAATTGCGAAATCCAGGATGCTGCTCTACAAATGTAGAATAAAATTCAAGATATATATACATCGTAGAATACGTGCATATTTCTATACCCTACATTATCTCCTTTTTTGAGGCTGTATCTCTCGGATATTTTCGTGTTGTTCATTATCGCTATAGTGTTCTGTTTACTATAAAACAACCATACAGGCGCCATAGGTGTATGCATAAAAAACATGCAAGCTATACCATCACTATAAAGAGTCAAGGCGCATATATTTGACAAATGTTCACATGCCATTCTATCCTTCTTCTAAAAAAAAATTATTAAGATTAACTGTGTTATAAAATTATATACATTATTATTAAATATAATATTTTAATTATGTGCAATATAATCATAATTATTTTAATATTTCTATAAAAGAGTTTGAGTCTTTTATATATATATCGTGTACCTTGCAGAGGTGCACTGCTATTTGTAATTCGCTTCTCAAATAGTAGCTGTCTACGTTTTCGCTTCGAAATTTCATCAAGTATGTGCTTCTGATATCTGGCCAGTCAGCGACGTCATCCTTATGTAGACAATAATTTCGCAATCTTACGTGCGTTGCGCTTGGACATACGCAATTAATGTGACCGTTATATTCGCGACTGTCGCACGGTAAACATTTGGAACAGTCGGGAGATGGATACGTACCTTGGACGCATGTTACACAAAGTACAGTATCCAACAGCACACCGTTAATATTTCTATCCACTGTAAATAATAGGAGAAAAAGTATAAAATTTATTTCATAGAGAAATAAAAAATAAAATAACAATGGAAAAATGCTAAAGTTAAGATTACATTTTATTTGGTTCGAAGAACAGTTGCACGTTGCATTTGCACGCAGGATGCAGTTTCCTCCATCGGTGGTCACGGTCATGTTAGGACCGCAGGTGGTGCAAAGAGGGTTGCCGTTCTCTCTCTCGAAACCGATTGTTCTACTGAACTTATCGCACGTACATCGCAAGCCTAGCAGAGAGAAACGCGCGTGGAAATTAAATAATAAATATATAATAATCGCGAGAAAATTTATGAACTTACGATTCGCGGCTGGTTCGAGATTCTTGCTGGCGTCGCATCGCGAGCAGGATAAGGAAACGGTATCAAAATACTCGTCGTATTTACACGAACTCGGTTCCCAGTATTCGAGTACCTCATTATTCACATTGAAAGCGTTCGCGAATGTCGAGAAAATGATCGCAATCAACACCAGATGACGATTACGGCTACTATGTTGGGTGTAATTCATATTTGTTTGCCATGTGGTCACCATGCCGACGTAAGTATCGGTCACCCGTTATGCGTCGGTTCCCTACCGGGGAACTCTTCAGCTACACGGCCGCAAATCCGAATTACTACCAGGAGGATAGAGGTAAGTAGGGAGAGCCGCGGAGAGAGTGGGAAATAATTCGAACATCTCAACGGCGATGTGGGAGTCGCGCCACTACTTTCGAGGAAACAGCATCCTGAGGGATAACACCTCGTGACGATCGTTTTAGGTAAGGGCGTCCCAATTCTCGCGCCGCGATTTTTCGATTCGAGAAAAAGAAATCGACCGCGTTATCAATTAATCACGCGTACGAATGTATCACGTGTACAGATCCCCGATAGTGCGCGAACGCGGATCTCGATTGCGAAGATTTATCGCAAATATCTGCACGTATTATAGTGTATTGCATCGATAAAACACATATTAGGACGATATTTTGACGTGGATTTTTTCTCTTTTTTACGTATTTTTATTTCGTATTATTAAAAATTAGTGTAGATTCTTGAAATTAAAATATATTTTTTTAAAATAATTTTTCTGTGAGACAATTTTAAAGGTGGTTTAATCTATTGAATATATATTCTATTTTGCACATATAACGGAGTTCTCTCTTACACAATCATGATGCAATGGAATGATCTATCACTCGCATAGTGAACGAAATTAACAGCATTCATCGTATGCCATCGTTTGCGTTCCTAATCAGCTGGCATCGTTAATAGAGTGCTAAAAGACCATCTATCGTAATTAAGATTACTAGATTATAATCACGCGATTAAGATGCTCCGCAGTTATATATATTTAATCTCATGCATGTATATAAGAAACGTCCTCTTTTCTTTAACAATCAATCAAATAATATATATATAATTCTCGCGTGAATGTAATCAATTTAACCAAACAACTTTTACTTACTACAATATTTTGCAAATTTCATTAACATTTTCTATTTTTTAAAAATATTAAAATACATTTTTTTCATATAATTTTAAAACGTTCGTGTGTTTTTTAGTGTATAAATGATATATTAATAATGCATAGTGTAATTAATTTAATAATTAATCCAAATGATATTAATGAATTCAAAACACAATATTATTATGTGCTTATTATCGAAACTATAGTGCCGATTATATACGCAGGGATTATTTGGTAATCGATATCACCGTTTTTAAGTGCCGTCTGTACCAGCTAAATTTGGCGGGCTTACGCAACGAGAGAGAACTAACGCGGTCTGACACCATGAGTGCCGTTTCTACTGACTAAAAATTCGATTTCGTACAATCATTTGCAAAACGCACAAAAAAGTTTATACAAATTCCAGGAAATTAATAATACACACATACATATTGTAAAGTAATAATTAATGCGATAATAAGCATATCTTTTATATGCACAGTATTATATTAATAATTATTTATTAATCAATTGCCATTGTTCGTTATTTAGTAGTTCGCAGATTATTAATTAGATATTTACATACACACTCATTTTCATAAAATGTATAATAGCATTATTAAATTAATATCATAAAATATCAATAGCATTGTTAAATAAGAATTAAATATTACCTTAAAGTTGTGCCTTTAATATTACGAAAACATTACATGTTTACAGTATTCTTTATCGCAGCTAGAAATTAATATTAGATTTATAATATATTTTTTATTAAAAATTATTTTCGGGGCTATTAAATTCTTATTGCAGTTGCAGTCTTCCGTTTCTCTATGAGATATACGTGTATACGGACATCCGATACCTTGTGCGAATTGATACAAGAAGGCGGCGCAATTGGCGACGATATATTTAAGTCTACTGGTCTAAGCGAAAATTCGGGAATTAAATAATTTACAGGATCTAGCGGTTGCTGAGTCAGAATCTAAAACAGTTGGCATTATATCCGCCGCGATAACTCATAACCGCATTTGTGTGTCCGGCCTGTCGTTGATCTGTTTCACTGCCGTCGACGCTTTCTACACGGTATCGCATAAAGCGAGTTTTAGTGAATCCCGGGATAATTCATCGCTCGCTCCCACTAATAGCGTGAGCCAAATATTTCACGTATTGTTGTAATAGCGTCAGTAATAGCGTCATAATTTTGTTACTACTATTTGCGCAATCGTAATTCTTATTGTTAGTCGAAAATGCCGAGAATTTTTAACAAACTGCAACAAACTCAGTTGTTCAGTGTGCGATTTTACAAATTAAAAAATATTAATTATATATATTATATTACTTAAATATATAATAAACACAGTATTTCGATATTAATTCAATATAAAAATTTATTCGGTTTTTGCACATTTTTTTATATTGAGTTATATACCTAAATAGTGTAACTAAATTTGACTAAACTTGATTAGTTTTAATCAAATCTAAGAAAATAAATTCTTAATTTGTACTCATGGTCTAATCGATTTATTTCTATTTTCATATCTACATATTGTCGTTTACAATACTAATCGCGCATCTTATGCCATATTTTTTATAATATCAATTTCTTTAATTTTATTATCGTTATACATACTTATTATTTTTAAACTTAATTTTAAATGAATAATTTTTTAAATCGATAATTTTTTCTCTCAAATATATAGATGTTACTTTTATATATTACGTGACTTTTCTGAATGATTGTACAACTTGGAACGTTTAAACACGACGGTTACACATCGCGTATAGTAAGATACCGAGGATGCATGAACGAATGATTGAGTAATGAGCCGATACGTTCGAAATCATAGCTGCTTTCCTATCGGACGAACGCCAGACACGTACAAGCCAATTAAGTCGAGTTAACAATCTAATTGAAAGAAGCCTAGCTATAGCTTGTCGTCTTTTGGCACGTGCAATTCGACAGAAAAACCTATTCCACCGAGGAAGAATATATCAGCGCAGATATCATTTTCACTGTTTATTCCAAGCTGCGAATTTATTTTTGACGTATCGCGCGAGACGTAATGCTTATTTCGAACGACCGTTATTATTGGATATATTTGTGTCGATGATCCGTGATATTCACGAGCCAGCAATAATGCGCTCCTTGTGTATTGTACATGTAATAGATGAATAAATCTGCCGGTGTCTAAGAACCATTATTTGTCAAAAGAGTTCCATCATCGTCGCGTTTTTGTCGTGTCGCATTATGAAGATGCTAAATTAAAGCGTTGAAAATTTTCACGAATTAATTCTAATAAAATTTGTCAGCATCAAAATAAAAATCATATAAATTTTATACTTATTGTTAGATAATTTTTTCATTTATTAAGCTTTGATCTTTTTTCTGAAATCCACAAACTAATCTTAATTAATTGTAATTAAGAACTTGTCATTAAATATCTTTGTTCAGCATAATTGACTTTTTAGGATTGTAAGAATTTTAAGCTCTTTGCTCAAGCGAATACTCGAACACAAAAAACACTGTGCACTATTAATTTATTTACCGTTATATCTAAGAAATTCTCTGCTTAATATAGCTCCTCGATAATTTAGTCAACAAAAATAAATCGACCGACTCATAGCGCTCTCATTAGCCTACATTCGCGATAATATATCTCTTGCTCCAATAAGGCTGCAACCGATTTAAAAATAATTTCGAAACAACAGATCTCTAAGTAAAGGCGGTCGAGGAACATAAATTTTCAATATAAGTTGAAAATTTATAACACGACGACATTATTGTGTGTGTTTGTTTCAATTAAAAATCAATTTAATCAAGAACAAGTGTAAGTAGCTCGTGGATTTTGCCGCTCTGAGCTGTAATCTCAGAATTAGAGGCTGAAAACGCAATAATTAAAATCACACTTTGAGTCATCATGTCTGATTTTTTTTTTACCGCGGATACAGACACAAAAGTCGGCCCTGAAGA